TAGTCATCTCCTTGTGCGAGGGAGGAAAACCCACAGAATTTGAGCCCAGGAGATCTGGATTTGAGTCCAGGTGCTACTGTTTCTAGCTGTGTCCCCAGAAATATTCAATTCCTTATCTTTAAATCAAGGTTAAGAATGCTAACCTCACAGGATTTGTGAGATGCAGTGTAAGCACCAAATACTTCTCATTTATGGGTGGTGATAACACTTCGGAGAAAAGCCATGAGCCACAGTTTCAGCACCCTACCCCAAATCGTAGCTGTCATTATGATTCCCATTCAGGTGTGACTGGAAGCAGAATGTTCCCTAATCTAGCTTTTTCCTAGGCATTCGTTTTAGAGTCTGGAGGTGTTTGTGGCATGACTGTCTGCTTTTCTGATGCTTCTGTGCACTCGATTGGTACATCAGATGGGTGAGGATTAAGTGTGCAGGCCAGCAGGTGGGGGATAGGGCATCCCCTGCGTTCACGATGGGAGCAGAGATTGGTAAGCACCTTTCTGATGAAAATTTGGCAGTATGTATGAAAACTGGAAATGGTCTCATTTTTGGACCAATATTTTTCCTTCAAAGAATTTGTACTTTAGAAACAGTAAATATACAGAGAGGTATGTAGGAGCATTTGATGCACTTTGCTTGCACAGGACCCAAACCCCATCTTATTCTGGGGGACACCCCCACCTCAGACTTGGCGTCCTGAGGAAGCATCCCATGGAGACCTCCTGGCTGATGCTCTCCCTCAGCCGGCCTTCCCTCGGCTTCTGCTGTCCTGAAGCTGGCTCTTCAGCCTCCCTGACCATGTCAGGAGCTAGCTAAAGTCCTTTGCTGCTTAAGTGAACCAGAGTGGCCTAGACTGAGTCACCCACAGTGACCTTCAGCTGAGGGGAGGATAGACAAACACGGTGCCCCACTACTTTGGTCCCCTCAGGGGTCCATCTCCAGGCACTGATGTGGGAAGGTGATAAATCATGGTATTACATAAGCAAGTGGGAGTTTCAAATGTAGCAATAGAAATAATAATATTATATTGTGTAATAGAAAAAAGGAGCTGGGAGCCTAATAAACCAAGTTGTTGACAGTGATTATCTCAGAGGGCAGAGTTTACAGAACTCTTTCTGTGCCATGAACTCTTTTCATTTTTGAACTTTGGTGATTTTGCAGTAGGTGTGTAACTAGGGAAAAAGAGATAATGCTATTTTTTTTGAAGTAGCTGATGGTTGCATCATAGGCAGAGTATGTGCCCCTGAAGATGTCAAATAGCTTAAAACTAACACAAGCCCAGAATAATCCTGACAGAGAAGAGCAGTATTTCTGTCATCACCTTAAGTGGTGTCACTGTGTGTCAGCAGAATAAACAAGTTTACAGTTGACAAGGCCCTTCAGCTTTGACATTATGGATCCATTAAAGAGAGACTGTATTAAATGATGTATTTTATATCCTACTGTTTCCAATTCAATATGCATAAAATGAGCCCACTGCCCCAGTGTTATAAACCCCACTCCTCGGCCTGGGCTGAGCTATTGGGCACAGACACGGTCACAAGGAGAGAATGATGAAGGGAAGCTGAGTTATCTGCAGCTGGCTCTTCCTGACGATGCCAGGAGCAGAGACACTTCAACTCAGCCCTCCCAACTCTTCACTGCCCGGGGAGGGAACGGATGTGGCTGGTGGACGGGCTGAGGTTGGCTTGTGCTAACCAGGTCTCCCCACCACTCGAAAGGCCGCTTTACCTTGAGATCTTCAACCAGCGGGGAAGGGGTCCACCTCTCGGCCGAGGCCTGGTGACTCCGCAGCTCTGGCTCAGCGGGGTACACGTGTCTCTCCATAAAGTGCTTCAGCCGCTGATACAGCTCCCTGACTGGTGGGGAAAGGCCTTCCGGAGAGATGACCAGCGCCCCCCTGGTGGCATGAGCTGGGGAAGAGTCTGTCAAGGTGACATAACTCCTCGTGCCTGGGGGCCTCAGCAGGGACTGTGGCCTGGCCCATGTGTGATGGGACCTCGTTAACGGTTTGGTGGCCGGCATCTCTTTGAAAACCCGGAACCCTTCTTTGACTGCGAAATCCCATGCGAGATTAGACATAAATTCAGTCAGCTTTCCACTCTGTTCTGCGGTCGCCGAGCTTGCCTGCCCTAAGCAGAAGCAATGAAAAGTGGTGAGTACCCCCAAACAGCCCTTAACAGTAACTCTAACACACAACACTACTGTTGTCATGGCAGCAGCCAGCACCGCCTGCTGAGAACCTGCCACGCACCAGGCTCCGTGCTAAGTGCTTGACATGTATTAATACAACTCACTGAATTCCTGAATCTGTTTTAATCCCCACTTTACAGATAAGGATCTGGGTCTTAGGGAGGAGATGTGCCCAAGCTTACACTAGTGGGCTGGGAGCCAGAAGTTGAACTCAGACAGCCTGCTCCCTGCTCTTTATCGCTTCTTTTCCTCAAGAAACTAAATTAAATCAGGAATTCCCCAAATCACAAATCCGCTGTTGCCAGTGGACTATAGGAAGCCCTGCCATGAAATTGATAATAACAAGGGATTGAATTAACGGCTACTTTCTGGGCACCATTATGTCTAGATCAACACCGTCATCAGCACTGCAGAACTCACTCCAGTCGTGCTGTTTTTTTTTTAATTTAATACAAGCACCAAGATTCTTTTTTAGAGGATTTTTGAAAAAAAAATGTAATTAAGGTGTAGTATATATACACTCTCTTTATAAAGTGCACAATTCTGGGAGTTTGGTCAGGCAGATAGATACAGGATGAGTATTCTGATCCGCCCCAAATTTCCGTGGTGTTCCTTTGTACCCTTTCCCCATGCCCCCGAGGGGCAGCAGTGATCTCTGTCCCTGTGGTTTGTCTTTTCCCCAGTGTCACATAAGTACATACATCATAGTCGTTTCAGTGTGGCTTCTTTCGCTCAGTGTATCTGGGATCCATCCCTGGGTCTCCTTGTCCTGTGAATATTGCCTCTTTGTGGTGGGCTTCTTCACAGCCGGCCTTTCTGGATGCTTTTTACCACTTCCATCTTCTAAGGAGACTGTTTTCCTCCGCCGCTATGTATCGATAAATGGATCTTTGCGGAGGCCTGTTTTACTTCTGGCTCCTGCCATGGTCAAGTGCTAGTTCTCAAAAGAACCATTTGCATGCAGCTTTGGTGTTAAAGGTATTATACTATTCCTGGCCAGGAAGCTAAGACGTCCCATTGTACTAGCAAACCCACTGCTGGGCTCTTTCTTTTAATTTTTCATGTTGGAAAATTTCAAAGATACAACTAGAGAGGAGACAATGAAGCTGCAGGCTCCTATCACTCAACTCCAGCAGTCATCAGTGAAGAGCCAGCCTTGTTTCATTCTCTGCCATCCCCACCCCCACTGCCCTGGATTTCTCTGAAGTAATCCCCCAGACCACCTCATTTCATCCCTAAGTATTTCATTTATGTCTGAAAACAAAGACAAAAACACAGGCAATAATACCATTATCACACTTAAAAAACAAGTAACTATGACTCCTTAATATCATCAACTCTCCATTCAGAATTCAAATTTCATTTGCTGTCTCTTAAAAAAGTTTTTTTTCAGATACTTTCTTTTTTCAAACAAGGATCAAAATAAGGTCCAAACGCTGTTTTTGGCTGTTGTAACTTTTAAGTCCCTTCCAATTGATAGGTTCCTTTTTCATCTTCTTTTCCTCTTTTTCCTTTGTTGAAGAAACTGAACTGTTTCCCAGAATCGGGGTTTTTGTGCGTGACTGTGCCTCAGTGGTGCTGTTTATCGTGTTCCTCTGAACCTTCTGTCTCCTGTAAGTTGGTGGTTGGCTCCAGAGGCCCCATCAAATCCAGGCTGGACTCTCGGGGGGAGCGTCAGGAGGTATGTAACGTCCGGCTGTCTGTCTCTTGGTGATGTTATCACCATTAATGCTTGTTTTCCTGATCCATTAAAGTTTTAGGGGTGGCAAATTGGTGACACACCAATTCTATCATTGTGTCCCCGGATGCTTCTTTAGAGAGAAGCTTTCCCGCGTCAACTGTTTGGTTAGCCTGACATATAATTTGTATAGGAAAGGCAGGATAAATGCTGGGCTCTTCTCCCTTTATTTACCAGTTTTCAGGATAAGGGGTTGCCTCCCTGGCAGCCTCCGAAGTCACCAATGAGACTCTACCTCTTTGTTTTAAGATCACTCTTTACTCCTGGATTTAAGCATACGTGATGTGTCCCCATCCATGGCAGTTATCATCCTTATTTTATTGGTGCTCTAAGTTTCCTGTCATGAGCAAGTGGGAGTCTCTTCGAGTTGGCTCCTGAGACCTTTAGTTATGACCCTCGTAGTCTTCAACAACCCCCTTCCCTTCTGTATGGCAATGTGTTCCAGGTTCATCTTGTAGATATTCTGCCCTAGACCTGAAATCAGCCACTTCTCCAAGGAGTCCTGGTTCTTTTTGATGAGAATGGGATTTACAGATTATGATGCAAATAATTAGGGGCATTTAATGCTGCTGGTTTAGTCATTATTTCTAGGTCTTTTTGGTAGATTCTATCTGCCTGCTTTCTACTTGTCTTCCTTCTACACAGGAAATAAACTTTAATCTGTCCTATCTTCTTAAATAATTTAGGACATAGATTATTTCCTTTGCTACCCTATAAAATTTAGAATTAAATCTAATAACATTATGCCAACCTTGCATGTATGTACACGTGAACACTCCATCGGTGACGTATGTGTTTATCCAACCATCAGTTCTAAGTGGCCATACTTAGCTTTCTTCCCAAAAGTTCAAACTTGAAAGATACAATCTAGAATATCCTGGTTCAATAAAGTATTTTCCCAGGTACATAAAAAGCACCATCAAAGAAAATACCATAATCACTTTTCTCCTTCAGTAATCCTCCTCCTGGGCAATTTGGCAACATCTACAAAAATTTTAAAGGCACATACATTTAACCCAGCAATCCCAATTCTAGGAATTTAGCCTTCAGATATGTTCACGTATGTGTGAGAAAGGATATTCATCAACCACTCTTTGTGACTGCAAGAATCTGCTAACAATCCAAAGTTACATCAATAGGGAAGTGGTTAACTACGTTACAGTATATCCACAATGGAACACTATACACAAGGGGATGCACTACAGAAATCAAAAAGAATGATGTAGATCTGTACATATGCACATAGAAAGTTCTCAGTGAAATATTGTTAAGTGAAAAAAAGCAAGGAATTTGCCTTATATAGTTGTCAAATACATATGTAAGCATTTATATATATACACATACAAATGTTTCATAGGAATTCTTATGCATATAAAATTTTTAAATCAGGGTACTAAAACATACACATATGATGATCATATTTTTATAAAACTTGGAGACAGAGAGAGGTGACAGATATGCAGAAAAATTGGGGAGCCCAAGAAGTTCTTAATAATAGTTTTTGTCTTTAAGGAATGGCGCTAAGAAGTAAAATAATTTTATATTCTTCTATATGACTGAATTCTTATCATGTCTGTTTTTAACTTTAAAATATTTGTGTACCTTATTTTAATAATTTTAAAACAAGTTTAAGTATTTTCTAAAATATATATATGACGTCATACACTTAGTGACAAATGATTGAATTACCTGACTCTTGTAATCTGGCCACAGAAGGGTTTCTGGGCAGAGAAGCCCCTTGGCTGTGACTCAGACCCCTAGGCCAGCTCTCCCAGGCGCCCCCTTACCTGTGAGGGAGCGTTTGTAGACCCCCTGCAGGATTGCGGCTATGCGGAAGAAGGAGAAAGCCAAGTAGAAGTTCCAGTTCTCGGTGGGAGGGATCCCCATGTGAAGACAGTACATCCTGAAATACTCCTCTACGGTCGGGATTCCCAGATCCGTCAAATTACAGTCACTCAAACCTGAGGCGACAGACAGAGTCAGGACTGGGCAGTGACTCCACACTTCCCTGTGGCCGCCAAGTATTTGAATTCTGAAAATTACTCTGGCCCTTGGAAGTTGGCTTCACAACTAGTTCAAAGGGTTCTAGCTCATTATTTCAGGCTGGCTGGAATCCAAGCTTGAAGCTATTGTTCACAAATTGGCTCTTAAATGTTTCAGACTAAACTGGCAGTAAAGGAAGGAAGGCGGGGCCTTCACCTCCAACAGGACCACAGTTCAGCATTATCTTCTATCTGTCATTTGATAAAAATGGTATTCAAAGACCTCGCCAGATTATTAAAAAGATAACTACAACAAATAAAAACGTTTACAGATTTCCTTCATTTGCAACGTTCTGATGGTTTAGAAGCATGTAACGTAATTCTGTTCCTAGGAATTTACCCTAGGAGTAGACCTTATATCCAGGCAAAGATATTGCTACAAGGATATTCATTGCCTTTTTTGTGGGAGGAAAGGGAAGGTAATATAAAAAAGGAAGCAAAGATCCATACAGGAATCAAACCAAATGTCTTGATTAAGTTAATTCTGTAACAATTCAATCCTATGCTGTCATTAAAAATCAAGCTGTAGAAGAAATACTGAATATCTCATTTTTCAAGAAGCAGCCCAGTCACAAACTACTTCAGCCGAGTTGGCCCCCAGGCTTTGAGAGTGGAGCTGGCGCCACCCCTAGCGCCCCCAGCAGCAGCTCCTACCTGGCTGAATGGGAAACCCGGAGGGCAGGTAGTGAGCCAGGCAGCTGTAGGCCACATCCGCAAGGGGGTCGCCTAAGGTAGAAAGTTCCCAGTCCAGGACTGCAAGCACCTCGTTCTTTTCCGGATGGAACAGCAGGTTGTCCAGTCTGAAGGAGCCAAGGAAGGAATGGAGACGGTGCTAAGAAACTTATCGATCGCTAGGGTGTACTCTGTGCTCGGCGTCTTGCGTTGTCCCTGCAGACACACTCCCCAACCCTCTGGCCCCGTGTGCCCTGGTAGCCTGAGTGGGCTGCATCCACCAGCCCCTGGCCTTCTGACTCAGTTGGGCTCAGCCAATGGGGACACCAGCAGGAGAGTGGACGAGCGCCTGCTTATGAATTCCCCCACCTCCCTCTTAGCAGACAGCCCAGGGATGGCTGTGTTTCTCTCCTGAGGGCCACAGCTTTGGTCAGGCAGCCCTCTCCACATAGCCACCCTCTCTGGATTTGGGTCATTTCTCCTTCCCTGAGGGGGTTTTAAAACAGGTCTGCAATACTTTGACACTCCTGCCACAAAAGGAAGAGTCTAGTCCTTCACCCTTTGCAGTATCTCATGTCTAACAATTATTTAACACAGGTGGAAATGGTGCTGAGTGACTCCCAAGACGAGGACAGAAGAGGTGACCAGCTCCCACCCACCCCTCTCTCTCTCGGAGCACACCCCTTTGCAGCCCTGAGCCACCAGGAAGAAGCCCAGCTACTCAGAAGCTACTGGAGACACCATGTGGGAAAGAAACCACAGAGACAGAGAGAGAGGCTCGGGGAGCCCGGCTGTTCACTTCTTCTCCGCCCCTGTGCAGGCGTGTGAGCGAGCCTTCAGGTGAGTCTAGCCCCCAGCCTGAGAGCCACTCCAATGGCTCAAACAAGCCATGCTGTCCCCAGACTGCAGACTCAAGAGTGAAATCACCGCTCTCGCTGTTTTGGCCACGCAGTAGGAGTCGTGTGTCACGCAGTAGTTACAGCTGGAGCCTGTGCTTGCACCTTCGGACCTGGGGGTGGTACTGACTCCGCTGCTGCATAGGCCAGCCCCCCATCACCGAGAATGATTCGGCCCCAAATGTCAATAGTGCCAAAGCTGCGAAACCCTGCCTTCAAGAGGGAGAGTCTGTATCGTGGATAATTCTCATCTGTAAATTGGGCAAAGACCAGCTGCCAACTTCCCCTTCCAATGCCCTTCCCATCACTTTCCACATCTAAACATCAGCCCTCCCCACGCCATGTCGACCTGAAGTCCCCATGCACCACCGTGGTCCTCTGCTGCCTGGGGAGGTGGAGCGGCAGCCACTCGATGAGCCTCTCCATGGCTGGGATGGCGCTGGTCTCCGAGGCTCGATACTGTTTGATCCATGTTTGCACCTGGCGTGGAATATAGTCCCCTGAGGGAAAGA